TATATATATATATTCATTTATTTTGTATGTTTCTGAAGTCAAATTTCTGCACAGAAAGTATTTTTTCAAACCAACTTTTCAGTAGTTATTGCGGCTCAGCCATTCGAAATCTCGAAGAAGTTGATTAGAACAAAATATGTTTAAAATTGACTTAAGAGCTTAGTGTCGAAGTTTCGTTGTTTCCTTCCTGGACACTCGGGATATATTGTATCTGATACAGCAGCATCTCTGCTAGGCAACAGGCGGGTGTAAGAACCATAAAATGCGCCCCCACCCGCAGAACTGTACACATAATACAAATAAATGTCATTAAATTACTCATGAGCATCTCTGTCACACCACACGCGCGTAGGAAGAAAGTTGCGTTCATCATTCATTCATGTATATTGTACATCATACAGCAGCGTCTCTGTAGCAAACGGGTGACTGGAAGAACCAGGAAACAATAATGTAATCAAATAATAGCGCTTCTGCAACACAACGCGCGCGTCCATAAGTAACGTACATCTTACAACAGCTTTTTGCAACACTAGGGACGGGTGGGAAAAGTGGCGGTGGGAATTAAGGACGGTGGCAGATATGCAAGGGGATCTCTACAACGATCACACTTGTTTCTGTGGACAGCCTTGATAACTGCTGACTTTGACGTAGTTTGATAGTAGTCTACAGTAAAGAGCTCAAACTAGAGATATGTCATCTAAAAGAAATTTGCAATACGTTTACAAAACAAAAGACAAATGTTTACCCCTACCTTGAATAACTTGATCCAAATATGTCATTTCATGTAGTGCCTCGTAGGTTATCGTATTGCCGTGCTTGCTCTTAACTTCAGACACTTCTTTTCTCACACGCTCTTGAATTTCGGGATTAAGACACATTTCGTATAGCGCGAATGTCATCGTTACAGACGAAGTTTCGAATCCAGCGAAGAAGAAAACGAAGACCTGGGCTGCTAGCTGATCCTCAGACAGTTCTAAAAAATATAATAAATATTTTAAAATAAGTTGCTCCGGAATAGTTCTTCAGAGTTGATTTCGTGGAAATGATAATTGAGGAGCGTTATTTCCAACTCGATAAATGCAAAAGATAGTTTTTCGTAAAACGAATGTTGAAATTGTATTGATCCCGTATTTGTCTAAAATCTTGTAATTCTGAATGCTTAAAGCTAAAATTTACTACAGAACTTGTTTTGATACAACCGGACTTAAGAGATAATGCATCAGGTGAAAAGACGCCTAAATGATGTTTAATCTATATTGAATCTCTTTCACATTTATCGGGTTTTGAAAGAAAAAACGCTTCTCAATCGACGACCATAAATTAAACAGTTACATATTACATAAACATTCTTAAATGTTTTGTTACTTGATTAACGTATGTGCATATAAATATCAACATTAATTTAACTAATACATATGAAAATTACAATATTAATCTCGTGAAATTCTTACAAAGATTCTTAACTTTGAATGGCTAATAGTTAATGGCATACGGTTCCAACTGTAAAATATTCCAATATAAGAACTGAAATGTTTAAAAGTTATCTTACACTTAACAATCCATGAACACATTTCCATAATTTCTTTGTGTTGGATAAAATCTATACGTCACTTCCTAAATGATATGGTAGATGTTACAACAAATTATCATTCAGTGACTTTATTGTATTGTTTGGAATAATATATTTTTAATTATATACGGTGGCCGAAAATTGTCTCTGTCGAAACTTGTATTTTTTCTTTTTGTGTTGGTTGTGGTTTCTGAATGAAAATGTGCGGACAATAGTAATTCAGGGTTTTTGTTATAGATATGTTATGGTTCTTTAATTAGGATTTGTTCGTTGGAGATATAGCAAGGTGTTATTTTAAAATACACAAAAGACTTCTTCTGCGAATGCTTTGCGGTTACTATGGCCACACCAAATATATCTATAGTCGGAAAAGAGAGAGAGAGAGAGAGAGGAAAGAGAGAAAGAGAGAAAGAGAGAGAGAGAAAGAGAGAGAGAGAAAGAGAGAGAGAAAGAGAGAGAAAGAGAGAGAGAGAGAGAGAGAGAGAGAGAGAGAGAGAGAAAATACGTGAGTTAAATTTAACGATGTCTCAGAATAATGTTACAAACAAATTTCGATATCGTGAGGAGAGGTCGAAGGTATTCACCTTTTGCCAATGAACATATAGCGTCATAACGAAGTTAACACAGCAACTTAGCTTCCATACCTTGGGTCACGTATTCTTCAAAATCCAACAAACTTCGGACGGAAATATAGGAATGATCAGCACAACTATGCTGGGACCGTAATCTCAAATATGTTTTAGAGCTTGAACGTGATAATTTCATAGTTTGTTTCCCTTCTTTAATATTAGTAATTAAATTTTGTGTTTTTCATTAGTTTTCAGCCAAATCCTTAAGTCAAGTTCTTGATTTTCGTATATTACTTTTGGGTTGTGAGTTCCTTAATTACCTTTACGGCCATCTTTAATAAAAAAATATCGTTCGGGGCTGATTGGCACTTTTGAGTTGGGGTCGTTTTGTATAGTGCAAACCTGCTCCATTCACTCATTGCCAACCATCTCCAAAAAAATAAAACTACTTTTCTGATATTCATTTCACATCTACGGTCAAAGCATCAGTAATAGAAACAATAAAGAACATATTTTTCGTAATATTCTTGTTCTACAATACGAGATTTGTTACGTGAAATTCAATGGGCGATTCATCTGTCTAAATAGATCCCTTCCTTAAAAATGGCCTATTTTTAGTTTGTTTTGTTTTTTATTAATTTATTTTCTCGGTTTTGTTCCATTACGTAAAAATTTCAAAATTTTAGTAGTGGTCCGATACTCGACTCAGTAATGGAAATAGGTGTCCTAACCCCTGAATGTGTGTGAAACGAAAAAAAATCTATAAATACTTTACATGATACATTGTAATGTCAATATTAATAAGGTGTTTCAATCTAATTCTTTAAATAAAAAATAAAGGGAAAGAAATAAATTATCTTCGGTTCAATCCTCACTACTAGAAGGCATATGCTTCACGTTCTGCAAGTTTGAAGCTGAGAAGCCTTCAATTATTATTTTTCAAATTTTGGGCTTCAAGTGGACACTTCTGAAGTAGCAGTGGACGGTCACTACTGGTGTCGAAATTTGATACAATTCATTATAAGTTATTCATTTGATTTTACTTATCTAAATTTCCAAAAACAAGGGCAAAACAATGGTTTATTAAAAAGAGTTTAATGACGGATTAAATTAAATTAAAGACAGAGTTTTAAATACTCCATTTTCGAACTACGAATACTGCTGTAGTTGCTGATATGAATCTGTTTTACAAGCTACAAGTTGTTCCTACGATGATAAATTTCTTTGCGCTTATTTGTGTCAATAAAATATTGAAAAATTATTTTTTTGGCATTGATTTATTATTCCACAAACACGGAAGTAGTGTGCCAGCATACACCATGCTAACGTCAACCTACCCTAAGGCCAGTGCCAACCAATCCCCATAATTGCGTTGGTTGGCACATCTTAATTTTATAACTATTAACGAATCTAAAATTTCGAGATTCGAATATGCACGAATAAATTAACTATAAGGTAGCCAAATAAATGTGGTCTGAATTGATTTATTGTCCTAACTAAACCGGCATTACTTAAAATGTAATAAAAACTACCAACTGTTGCAAACCAGCTTCGGTATCCTCTATTCCTTACCTGGCGAACGCCAGTGGATAGGTTGTGACAAAAAAAATACAAAGAATGAAAATGGTGTGAGTTATTTTAACTTCGTACAATTTCTCCAATGCAAATTGCTTCATGACTGATATTCTGAATATTGAGGATGGTCTGTTCAGAAAGTGAAGTAGTAATTACTCCAACCCTAAGACCTCCCGGTCAAAGGCACCGCAGTGACAGTTGATGCCCTGAACCACCTCTCCCGGTCAAGTGTGCTGGTGTCTGGTGTATGCCGAATATGCATAAAGGGTCGTAAAGGGCACTGGACTGACGGCTGGAGGAAAGCCCTAGGGAAGGGCGGGAAGCGCACCGAGGCGGTCGGCGTCCTTGTGGGCGGCGTCGGGAGGCGCGGGCGCCGGGTCGTCGCCGTCGTCGCCGTCGTCGCCGTCGCCGTCGCCGTCGCCGTCGCCGTCGTCCCGGACGCTGCCGTGCTCGCGGAGCGTGAGCAGCAGCTGCATGAAGTCGGTGCGGCGCGCGGCGGGGGCGCGGTCCTCGCGCAGGCGGGCGGCCGTGCGCACGAGGCCCCGGAAGAAGTCCGTCACCTGCTCGGTGTAGACGCGCGGCTTGGGCAGCCACGGCGCCAGCGAGCGCAGCAGGCGGCGGCGCGCGGTGCCCGGCGGGATCTCGACAACACAATTCTCTCGTCAGCAGAGGCGCAAGACGGCGCAACTGCCCCCCCCCCCCCAATGTTGGGACACACACACGCACACACACATGTGGTATCTAGGAATGAAACAGTTTCATGCTTAAAATCATGATCCATAAAACTCGAATTAATTCTCAAAAAGAAAGAGTATTTCCCAATTATTATATACATATGATATTTGGCATTCAAATGTCTCAATATGAAACGAAATCGAAGCATCTACAATATAATATTATATTTATATACATATATTATATTTATAAGTTATTTATCAAATACTTATTGTGCGCAATGCAGATTAATAAAAGGTATATTGTATAATATAAGCATACTGCATATTGCTTTTCGTACATTTCTTTTAAAATTAATATTGTTTAAACAAAAATAATTTTAATTAATTTTTTATAAAACTAATTTTGCGTTTTTATAAAATAAGTACTTACCCCCAAAATTTGCCCCTCCCTGCTCCCTCAATAAAAGATTCGAAATCTCGCCTTTGCTCGTCAGGCATTCGTACATCGGTCATTCTGTTTTGCAGTTTTCGTCTTTTGTTAGAAAATAGAAGCGGTCAGATACATGCAATGTTCTATGTGTAACGTGCGCAGATAATCTTTGCCCCCTACACCACATACAGTTTTTACTGTTTTTTTGACTAAATAAATCTAAATCCCGTAAATCAGATGAATAGAAAGGCCGTTAGGACATTGCAATGTTTTAGTTTCGAAAGTCTGTAAGTCATTGACGTGCGGGGTATGTATGACTGTGTATGTATGTATGTGTATGTATGTGTGTGTATGTATGTATGTATGTATGAATGTATGTATGTATGTATGTATGTATGTATGTATGTATGTATGTATGTATGTATGTTGCATAGCCGAGCTAAAAGTTGAAGTAACAACGCGTCCTAATTTTACTGAGAAAAAATGAGTAGAACGTTATCGTCTTTGAGGAAGAGTTGTGCAATCGGTTACAAGTTGAAATTTTCGTTATCGAGAAAACTTGTTGGTTTTCCAAAATTATTCTAGGCTTATTTTAATAGTCGAAAGGGTTCGCGGCTAGCGTTGACCGCAGACAGCCGGCCGAAAGACGGACGGACCGCACAAACTGATTTTTACTATGTACTGGAACAAGATTTATCAATTTTTTCAATATCAGGACCTGACAATACGAGATTCTATTAGAAAAAATCGTCCGCATTTCAAGTACTTTCTCTTTACTACGTTAGTAGTAATGGCGAAAAAGTAGTAGTTATTGATGCATTAAAGGCGTTACAAGGGTTCTAATCATCGAGCGGCGAGAAAACGCCCGAGGGTGATTTGTCGCCCGCGGATAGTAGAACCAACCAACGTCCGTGATACATAATTTTATTTTTTAGCTAATTTTATTGATTTAGATGTACTCATTTACTATCTAACTAGATGCTAACTTGATTCAATTTTTTTTTCGTATTTCCCTCTCATAATTCCCTTTCATAATTGCCTCATAATTCCCTCCGCAAGGGAAGATGTAGTATCATTCAACTGTTTTCTTATTTCCCTTGTGACCGCGGACCTCTCGATCCAGGTACGTTATGCAGCGTAGAATATCGAACACCAACGTTGTATCAGTAAAGAATAAGAGTAATCTGGGCCCACCTGCGCGAAGCGGCCCATGGCGCGGAACTGGCTGTCGGGGCGGTCGAGGGCCTGCGCGTCCAGCCCGAACACGCACGCGCCGATCACGTCGATGGTGAAGCGCGCGCACAGCTCGCGCACGTCCAGCTCCAGCGCCGCCCCCGCCGCCTCGCCCCGCACGCGCGCAGCCAGGTGACGCGACATGCGCGCCGCGCAGTCCGCCAGCAGCGGGAACATGGCCTGCGCACGGACGCACGCCGCAACGGACGCGTACAGCCTCTGGCCGGGGGAGAGGTTTAGCGGCCAGCTGTTCTCATCGGTAATTTTCCGTGGTTTCTCCGACCAACACCAGGAGAATTCAGGAGCAGTACCCTAACAAACGGGTCACAGACTACGGGCCATCTTTTCTTCCTCTTCCTCGTCCTAAACTGAAATCCACTAACACACACACACAGTAACAACACGTACATGCATGACACAGTAACATACGTCGGTAGACCAGTTGGATGCTTAGAGCTTGTCCCGGCTGGGGCGGTGCTTTACTAACGAGAGATACTTGGATTGGGAAAACGTCAATGGGGAATTTTTGCAGATTACTTTGTACAATTACCGGAAATACCGCGTTTGTCAATAATGGGAACAGCACCGCATTTTCTAACATTTTATATTAATTATACGAAAAAAATCTTATTATAAAAATAAATTATGCGAAGAAACACATAGGAACACGAAGAAATGCGAAGAAACACGAAGAAATTATGCGAAAAAAAATTCAAAGAAAGTGTGTACACCCTGCCAGAGAAAAAAAGTTTAAAACTTGCCTATATTTCCCGCAAAATTACGCGATAACTAATTATATTTTCGAAAAATTGTACTTGACTTAATATCAGATCAGTTTTTAAAGAACAAATTACATCAAGACAAATATCTATCTTCAATTGTTCTTGTAATTCTAGGTAGTCGCCGAAAAAAGTTTAATTACAAAATGTGGATCCATTTTTGAGAAAAATTAAAAATGTTGAGGCTTTATGTAAAGTACTAAAAGAAATCAAAATATTCATTTCAAACCACAATAGACACGAGTTCATTTCAATCGATTGAGGAATATCAATTTTGGAGAAAATTATCTGAACGGTTTGGAAGTAGCGTTGACCACAGAGGGATAGGTAGACAGATACAAAGACAGACGGACGGACAGACGCAAGGACAGATGAACAAACAAACGTTTTACGGTCAATCCATTGTTCTGTATTAAGGATCCACAAAATAAAGGAATGAAAAAGGATCCACAAGTCGTGGATTCTCACAACGTGTTAGAGAAAGTTATTTACTATGTTTATAGAGGAACAAGATTTATTCCCTTTTTTCGTTACCCTGCAGTATGAAATCCAGAAAGTTTCGCTTCCACGTAACAGAAGCCTTATTTGTATCGGGAAACGAACAACAGATTTCATTTTTTATTATTGCTAACAGTTCAACCCACATCCGAAATCTATTCCTGTCAGAACCAGCTAAGTAAAGCTCAGCAAAACATGCCCATATTGAAGCTACATTTATGTCCAGAAGCAAAACAAGGGTCCATATAAGCATTTGCTTAATGGATCAAAGAATCTGAACCAAAAACCTGATCAAGCATGACTCAATTGCCTCACCTTCATCTTTCCCGTGGTGAACGTTGGGGTCAACTTCATCCGGAGGTTCCTCCACTGCTGCCCTTCCACATTGAAGAGGTGTTCGGTGAGCGGGTCCTTCTTGGGATCGAAGGACAAGCCTCTGCTGGGGAAGTGCCAGAAGTCCCTCACCAGAACCTGTTTAATCAGCTCGGGGTCGCGAAGCATCAGCACGGGGTTCGATGAGTCGAAATAGCCTCCATACGGATGGCCATCGAGCTCTTGATATATAATCTGCGTGCATTCTGACTGGGAGATGGTGAACAGCATCTGACCTTTCGTGTTGCCGAAAAAGAAGGTGGGTTTGGCATACGGAACTCCTTTATTTTTCCAGTACTTGAAGTTGCGAGTGAAGTAATAGTAGATCAATACTGTTAGAAGCGTTACTACTCCTACGATGTACTCCAGTGGTAATCCAGTGATGATTGCCATGGCTGGAAATTAATCACACAAATAATTTATTGATTTATTGCCACTAGTTCGTATGCATCGCTTCAACGAATATTGAGTAGGGCAGGCATGTCAAGGTTGTCGCCGTCAAATAACTAACTTCCTAGAGTTCGCAAGCTTTGAATCAAGAACAACCGGCACAAGGCTTATGAGTAAGGTTTGCCTTTACACAAATTGCTCCGGAGTGGAGACACGTCACTAGATACCTGGCCCATAACTGTTTTGGAGAAGTTAGTTGACAGCAATTTCCTCAAATGTAGCTAAATTCATACCTGTTTCCTCCATTAAAGCAAATTTATATAATACGTGACACACGATCCATTAAAATGATATAATACATAAGTCAATTTCAAATTGTTAGTTGGAACTAAAATTAAATATTTTGAATGGAAAGTATCTTGAGTTTGTAATGTTTTCTTAAGAGTGTAAGAACTACATTAACTTTCCAGGTTCAAGTTAGGAGGTCTAACAGAAAGAGATTCTTGTTAGTTAAAAAGAGCTTCTCGACTGTAAGCGAGAATTATTAATTTATTGGAATGTGTAAATTTATTTTACTATATTGCTCTACAACATATAATTGAATTATTTTAGAAAACAACACATAACGAAAATAGTACAGCGTTCATCATTCAAACATTTTGCCATTTGACAAACATGCATGTAGTATAAGGCAGACTTTGCACTTCGCTGCCTCTGCCGGGAACAGTCGCCCTAGGTGGAGATCGGTGCCACGCAGCCACCAAATATACTACCGAAGTGTCGAGCGTTATCATCCTCAACTCACGTGATCTTCCCAATGAAGCAGTGTTTATATACTATTTGTGCATTGTAATATAGTGCAGTATTTTCAATAGTGCATCAGTGTGACTATTTCTTTAATGTGCTAATACGTGAATATAAAGAGTGAAGCCGCATTTCCAGGCCTCGGCGAAGTCGCAGCAGAATCAATGGCGCTCCTCTACAACCCAGAGAGCGCCATGGAAGTAAATCCTCTCATCAAGATGTAAACTAATTCCCCAACATAATAAAACCGCACGTACTTTCTCATAGTATTTCGAACTTCTGTAATCTTTGCAAATTCAGATACTTTAACGAAAATGAGACCTGCACATTCTTACGAGCGTCCATTGTTCAATCCATAGAAACAGTAAGAAAAAATCGGAGAAGTTCATGAGAAAATATAGTTTTAAAATTTGCATAACTGCAAGGAGAAATTACGCAAAAGCTACTTGTATTTTCAAACGATTGTACATAACCTTTGTTGAAGACCTTTGTTCCGATTTATTAGAACAAATTTCATTTAAGACAAACAATCTGTATCTTCAATTTTCTTCTTTTGCAATATTGACTTTCTGCTGTTTTCGAAAATGTAGTTTGGCGGAAATGAGACTAGAATCAACGTTTAATGTTTTTTATTATTTGATACACACGAAAAGAAAATTTAAAGAAAAATATGCAGCAGTTTTTGAGAAAATAATTGATACAAATTGGCGCAAAATTACGCGAAAACTCTCGCGTTTTAAAAACTTGTATATGACGTAATTTCCGGATTTATTTTTGAACAACAGCTTTTATTAAGAACAATTCAATATTGTAGCTGTAGGAAGACGCTCAATATTTTTTGAACCTTTGTAATCGAAAAATCAGGAATTTCAACGAACACGAGATCTGCACCATACTTTTAAGCGTTCCTTACATTATTCTAGGACAAAACTAACGAAACAAATTTAGAGTTATTTTTGATAAAATTTTGAAATGTTGATAAGGCTTCATATAAAGCACCTCCGAAAATCCAAATAGCCGTTTAAAACTTGCAGGGCCTCTAGTTAAAAAAAATCGATTGGGGAGTATCAAGTTTGGAGGTAATTGTGCGAAAGATTTATCGATGACCACAAACGGACGGACGGACCGACAGACGGCCACTTTTGCAGTAAATAAATTTTTCGGTACTATGGAAGTGTACTGGAATTAAATTTGCGAATGATAGTGAAAAATGCTGTAAAGAAATTACGAATTTTATAAGGTTACTTATATTTTAACACGAAAACACGAATTGTCAATATGAAAATCAATGTCTACGAAAAGAATCGTATTTTCTTTTCTTAAAGAAGTCGCTTAATGCATGGATGAAAATGAAGAACACATTGAAATAATTAGATCTTTTAAAACTTTTACGTCATTGATCATAATATTTTACGTTGTATTGCACTACAATGGTTACTGTCGTACCTTAATCAACGAGCTCAGTGAGTATAAATACTGTGCTAGAATAATGGGACATTATTTACTCATCTTTTCGATTCATTGTTGACAATGAATTGCAATGGGGTTCGGCAGACTTCGATTTTAGGCCCTATTCTCTTCCTATTATTCATAAACGGTATGCTCTCGACGATTCGAAACGCATTAACAGTTATTTTTGTGGATGATTTGAATATTCTGTGTAATAATGAAACCGTAAATATCACAATATTAGATGTTTAAAATTGGTTTCATTATAAAAAAATTAATAACAAGCGAAGGGAAGGAACGGCTTCAACGCAGTTTTCTATTTCAAATAGACTATTATATTCTCCATTGAAAATAGACACGTATTGTTGTCTGAATGTAAAGTAACATCATTTTGTCTCTCAATTCAGTCAAACATTTCCTTATTAAGTTTGACTCGTTTTCTGTTTTCATTGTTACGTCACTACATACCGTGGTTATAATTTACAACAAAAATGCATTTTCAGTAGATTTAACAGATTAAATGACAAGGACGCATAAAACGCTTGATACTACTAAAGTACTCTAGTTTGCTGTGAGCGATGTTTTCCTCATTCACAGTTTCCTTGTAAACGTGGAGAAATGACGCAACAGCGTCTGAGACACCGCGCTGGTGTCAGCTGTGACTCGGCAGCTGGTTCGATTTCCCCCCCCCCAGAAGTAACATTCAAACCCAGTTTTCTTAAAAGCAATTTGTTTTCTGGAAAATTTAATTTGAGTTTTTTTATGAAATTCAACTTAGAAACTTAGGTATTTTTTTTTGGAGGAGCTTCTGTACACTGTATTCCATTAAAGACTATAATGAGCATGAAAAAG